CCCCCCCACCCCTCCTACTAATGCGTCATAGAGCTCTGCAGAACACAGATCGACTGACAGGATGAGGATAAATCTTTGGCAGCTGCCGGATTGTCCCGCACAAATCTTTACGAGACATAAAATATAACCGTTGAGCAACTGTCCGAAAAAAACAACATGAAAATGAGTAAATATTCATTGACACACATCTGATAAACCAGAGTTGTTTCATCGCCACTATCCAAGGGGTGAGTAAATGACACATTGTGGTGGTCTTTGTGGGAGTAGTAAATGAGTCTCTTCATGGCAACAGGCGAGGCTTCCGGTATTTTTATTTCAGCCCTCTTCCAAATCCGCACCTCACTTTGGTCAGCGCAAGTTGAGCCTCGATTTCGTCTGCTCTGACGCAGGCCTTTGTCCTGAGAGACGTCAGCTCCGGAGCAGTTTTGTTGATTGTTATTCCTAAAGTGATACCTGAACTGACTGACTGTGCACTCTGATTCATCCTCTGTCATGCATATGCATGTGCGTATTTGTTATTTTCCTCCTCAGAGACAGATCAACTTGGTACCGTAAGACACAATTTGCGTCAAACTTGATGACGTTCTCACAGGATGTCGTCGTGCCGGAAGCTTACTTAATTGGGTGGAGTTTTCCAAATCTCAATCTGCTGAAATGCATCGGAGGGCAGTCTGTGATTTGTGAAGTGAAAGGATGGAGGAAACGCAGCCGACATATACTAATCACTTTAGATTTCCGGATGGCACAACTCGTGCAAATTCCTCACCCTCCCTGCCCGCCTACGATCAGAAAGAGATTTTCAGCAGATTAAGAGATTAAACATGGTCACCATTTTACTGATGGGCAGCTAATAGATCTATCAGGGAACAATTTTATTGCAAAAATGAGCTAAACTAGAGACCTCACATGGTCTGGCTGATCGGATACGGAAGCCTCTCGCGGCATATTAGGATGAAACCGCACAGGCTGTTCCATACGTCCTTGCTTGTGGATAAAAATAGCGACAGAGGAGTGAATAACCTCACTCTAACCCCATGACATGTCACAAAGCAGCGTTTAAATGCTGCTGCATGTGCCAATGAACACAGCAGCTGCCTGGAATAAAAAGTAGTAAACACACTGTGATGGTGTCTGACCATCTGTCTGTTTTTGTGATTCCTCACTCTGGGGGGTGATCGTGCGTAACTAATATACGTGAGAATAGAATGAGACTTTGGATGATTTCGGTCTTTGATAAGATTTTTGTTGTTTTAAAATCATGGTGATTGCGGAAAATGTGCACTCAATAAGAATGTATGGGGAAATGAGCTATTGTCACGAAATGTGGTGATGGAGGACCCCAAAAAGCAGGCAGGAAGAAGGAGCAGGGTGTACTTGACAAATTGTATTGATAAAAACACAGAAAACTAAATCCAAAACAAACCAAGTCCTATGAACAAAAAGAATCCAAAGCATCAAACAAAAACCATGGCTGAAGGTAAAAAACTAACAGTGACTGAAACATGACTGAAACATGACAGACAACCAATGACCCGACACTGAGCGGTCATGCCGGAAGTCCTTTTAAACAAACCAACTAATGACACAATGACCAACAGGTGTGCAGCTGCAGGTGGAGCCCTACAGTGCCACCTGTTGGTCACAAACAGAACCATGACGGCTATCTTGCTTCGTTGTGGCCTCCTTCACTGTCGGTCCTCTTTGGGGTTACTGTGAGATACACGCTTCACAGACTATTGAATATGGCGAGAATGCAAGTACGGCAAGTAATGATGACAGATGTTTGAGATACTGTACATTTTTCATGTCGATCACACTGAGCAAGTCAATTAAGACAAAACCTTTTTTTTTTTTGTTGTTTTTTTTCAGGAGGTATACTTTTTTGTGAAATTTTGTTCAGCGATGTGCCATAAAGGATCCGTAAAGGTTGGAAGCCACTGTCCTAGATTACATTACTTCTAAAAGCCACCAAACGACAAAAACACTTTGTTCCCCCACCGCCCCCCAGATCCGCGTGAGCTAAGTTTTGCGCTGTGGAGACAAAGGCAGCATGTCCAGCGAGCGAATACAAAGGAGAGCAGTGACACAACCACAGAGGAAAGCGTATGCCCCTATATTGGTCAGAACAAGAAGAAAGATTGAAACCCGCCAACTGTTGTATAATACTCGCGGCTCTGCTCGCTCAGTCATGTGCCCCAAAACAAAGCGCCACCCTCTGTTGGCATCTGCCGCTTGTCTTTCTTCTGCCTCTCCGACATCGCACGGGATGCGAGCAATAGAAAGGGTGCATGGTGGGAGCAAATGGATTCGTCCAGCTGGAAGTACCGTACAACTTGCACAGTGTGTGACTGCAGTGTTACACATGGAAGTCCCAAAGACTGATGACGAATCACTCTACTCTTAATTGCGAGGCATCATCCAAGCTATTGCCATGTATTCATTTGTTCGGTAGCACACCATCGTTCATGCTTGAATGAGTTTTGGGACAAATATGCAACAGATACACTTTTCAGTTCTCCTAGAAAAATGGAAACTGTTAAAATCCGCACCACTTGATAATTTCTTTCATTTTGTTTTGGGGAATCTGTCACTTTTATATTTGTTCAGATTTAGGGGAAAACCAATTCCAGCATCGAAAATATCAATTCTAACAATGTGATTCATAACATTACAATAGCTAGTACCGATCACAACTACATTTTCTTTCATTCGGTCAAGAAAGTGAAAAATGTATGAAAGCGATTTTTACACTGAGATCCTGCAAAATTGGAGCATCGGGAGTCATAACAGACAATATGGTTTATTGTGATCCAAATGATACACAATCAAAACCTTTTTGCGACAACTGTAGGTAGTTACGCAGACAAAAAAAATGCGTTTACGGGTCTGAATTGACATCCATGCTGTGTTTTACAATAATACTTTACTATATTTATCCATCCATCCATCCTCTGAAACGCCTGTTCTCACAAGGGGCGTGGGTGTGCTGGAGCCTATCCCAGGCAGGGTACACCCTGAACTGGTAGCTAAAACGCAAAGAGTAGAGAGTCTCTCTCATGGAACTGCACAAGGCAATCCACTTCTTCCTTCACAATCACACCTGGTTGTTTGTTGCTCAAGAAAAATAATTTAGTTCAGTACTAAGTATGTGGCCCCTCAAAATGTTGTTTCCCGACAAGAACAGCAGGGGGCACAGTTTTTAATACCAGCCAACTCCTGCTGAAAAAGAGTATGTACAGTATACACATTATTTTGATGCTCTTTGCCACTTCTTATAATGGACACACAAAAGAACCACAATGCTTGCTCATTCCGACATTTCAGTTCGCCAGCATAGCCAATCCTATCCCTGTCACTGCATGCAACTCAAGTGGCTGGTGTTACTGTTCTGTTGCGAAATGAAGAAATGTTCTGTCGTACTGTGTGGATTAAAATCGGACGAGCTGTGCCATATCGTGGAGGATGGCTCAGGTGGTAGGGTGTTTGTTTCCCAACACAGAGGTTGTGGGTTTAGTGCTGAGCCCTGCGCCCATGTCAGAGCAGTCAAGGTACTGAAGCACCAGTCGCAACTGATGCTGCTGTGTCATCGACAGTAAAGCGCTTTGACAACCTTGAAGACAAAAAAAGTACAATTTAAGTTAAATTTACCGTGGATCCAAACAACACAAAAGTGTGACGTTTAGAGGGGGAAATCGCCTGAAAGACCTACACAAACATTGTCATCACCAGCTGGATCAAAAGCACAGCGCGCTTGATGCTATCTGATACTTGATCACCGTGTTCTCACTGCAAACTAACTGTGGAAAATATTGCATTCTGAAGGTGCACCACACATGAGCTGTGGCTCAGCGTTTCCCCTCCAGCTGCCACCTGCTGCCCTCAAACCCTTCATCTGACTCATCGTGCACGAGGAGGACTTTGTCCGCTGCAGGTGCCTGTGCAGTGTTGTCAACCACTCTCTAATATTCTCTGACCTTGCAGTACCAACAAATACACATCCACTTCACCATTAGGCCCCAAGGAGATCTCTTAGGAAATAGTGTCCAAGTAAATCAAAACTGTCTTTAGTTTTTAGTAATAACAGTCGGCTATCTATCATTTTTGTGTGTTATAGTCGGAATGGGCATAATAATTCATCGATTGACTGTGAAGAATTCAGATCCAACCAGAAGAGGCGCTGTTTCCTAGCATGAGGGATCAGAGCTATGACCACAACCATGTGCTTTCATACTACAACACTCCAAGTACATGAGTGACAACATCAGTGTCTGTTGTTCAGGATAAAAAGGCTGTCGGAGACCAACAAGGCCAATAGAAGTGTCTGGTCATCGTATTATGGAATACTGTACCCTTAAACATATGAAGCGCCCTGCACTAACAAATTCAGATGCCGGACAAGGATTTGAACTGCAAATATTATGGCACTGTTTTGGGCCACCACATACTCTCATCTCTAAAGCTACTGATTTATAATGCCAGGAAGAACATTTCAACACTATTCCACTGTGTATCCACCTGTTGCCATTCACAGAGCAGAATGGTGGCTTCGTGCTTAACGAAGCGGGCTCAGCTTTCACAAGTAACTAGAAGATCCTCTTTATTTCAGTATTTGATGTACCGGTACATAAATACTTTTGATGACATTTTTGTTTGGCGGCATGCTCTGAGATGTTCCTAATGTGCCTTTTCTCCATTAAGGTAGGGAAATAAAATGTTAAAAATCAGTATTAACGTTCTGGATAGGATCACTCCTAAAGGACAAGTGCAGCCTCAATATTTACAGGAAGTACTATATATACAAATTGGTGCCTTCGGATGCAAATGTACTTTGTTCCATGTACACGCTTGTAACTATTTAAATGAATGGAAATGCCATTAATCTATTTAATCCTCCTCAAAATGAACATAAATGTGTATTTTAAAAAGAAAAATAACACTCTAAATTATCATACCTTCTTTTAAAAAAGAGAGTCGGTAAATAATCAAATACAATGTTTTTTTAATTAAATTTTTTTGTGGAACATGATTAACTCATTGGGACTGTGAAGCTACTTGTGGTGTGCACACCTAGGCAACTTGGGAGTATTATAATAAAGGCATAAGGATACTGTATATATGGAGATGGATAATAAGCTGCAGTAATATTAGTCTTTTTTGCAGAGGACAATACCTATTTACTTATGAGCTTTGTTATTTTGCCTGTCTACGCGTGCTGCTTCACTGCTTGTGTTCAAATATCCATTGAGTTATAACACCGTGAACAGATGCTATCTGTTAGTCCATCTATGGCGTTTTGTAACAGTTTATTAAAATCCAGCTCAGCAATTCTTCCAAATGCAAGTGTTTTTTTAAAAATATAAAATGTGTAATAATCTATTTTGATTAGTTTGACAGTATACATCAACTGGTGGTGGCATTAAACACTTTGAGACAATTTGTTGAAGAATTGTTCCCAATCAGCCCAACCGGTGCTTATTGTGATGTGAGCTGACTCACTAAACTCAAATATTGAGGAGCTAGCAAGTCAAAGCAAAAAAAAAAAAAGAAAAAAAGAATCGGTATATTGAAACCCGGTAAATGGGGTCCCTCGTTTTCAAGGCACCTCCTATATATATTTGGTGTACTTGTGGTGTGCACACCTAGGCAACTTGGGAGTATTATAATAAAGGCATAAGGATACTGTATATATGGAGATGGATAATAAGCTGCAGTAATATTAGTCTTTTTTGCAGAGGACAATACCTATTTACTTATGAGCTTTGTTATTTTGCCTGTCTACGCGTGCTGCTTCACTGCTTGTGTTCAAATATCCATTGAGTTATAACACCGTGAACAGATGCTATCTGTTAGTCCATCTATGGCGTTTTGTAACAGTTTATTAAAATCCAGCTCAGCAATTCTTCCAAATGCAAGTGTTTTTTTAAAAATATAAAATGTGTAATAATCTATTTTGATTAGTTTGACAGTATACATCAACTGGTGGTGGCATTAAACACTTTGAGACAATTTGTTGAAGAATTGTTCCCAATCAGCCCAACCGGTGCTTATTGTGATGTGAGCTGACTCACTAAACTCAAATATTGAGGAGCTAGCAAGTCAAAGCAAAAAAAAAAAAGAAAAAAAGAATCGGTATATTGAAAACCCGTAAATCGGGTCACTCGTTTTTCAAGGCACCTCTATATATATTTGGTGACATTTTTGTTTGCTGATGTGACATAAAACATTTCCCCATGTAAAACCATGGCTCATGAAACACTGAGAAACAATACAATCAAACAATCATAATCAGCATTACAATAACATTCTTGATGGAGTTTGTCATCATGCTGAAATATGAGGAACAGAGGAAAAATCTTCTCGAACATCATTTATAAATACTGTACATTCATTTTTTTTTCAATTACATTCTTTCAATGTCACGTGGTCGTTTTCAGTTCAAACACGACACAGTAAAAGCAAGTCATCGACAACCTTACCGGAGATGACAAAGTGTCGTCCAAGTGTGGACTATCTCCGCACGAGATGGACCGCTCAGGCGCGTGTCGTCCGTCCTCCTTCAGCCCCGTGTGCCGCTGTCCCCCTGCGCGAATGTCACGGGTTTTGCCTCCCCCTGGCTCTATTGTGACCGCTAATCTCCTCCGAGGTGGGATGTGAGGAGCGCTTTTTTGTTTAGGTCGGCCTATCGCACGCACGGCGGCGACCCAAACCCTCCTCCCACCTCCGTTTTCTTTCCCCTTTCCAATCGTGAGGCGAACGACATACCGTCTGATTAATGTTGTTGGTGGAGGACAGGTCAAAAAGGTAAAAAATAATAATCATAATAACAATAGTGACAATATATTTTTTTAAATCACACGCTCGTTGGCGGTGATGAGAGAAATGTGTTTTGGAATTTATCGTGGTGGGTTTACCGCCTGTTGTCTTGCGCATGCGCAGTGAGGCGACAGAACTGTGTCTGAGCGCGAGGACATCACACACATGCATCTTTTTTTTCTATATTTTAACACAAATGGACGTCTCCTTTAATAGCATCCCGAAATATAACTCACGTGGATATGCCGGAAGAACCTGTCCAATTATAATGTCCGCACGTCACTCGATACGCAATCAACAGTGTATACGACTGATGGAAGTCACGTGTGCAGAATTTCTAGGTCATCTGCACAAGTTGCTCTCAGGGGCTGAATTTTTCCCCATCCTTTCTCTCAGCTCACTGCGTAAGACATGCATAGAAATATAAGTCATAAGACACAGAAAATGAAACAACTCAAATTGCGTCACTTTTGCCATTCATGTGTATAGGGGGGTGGAATTACAGATTATCTAATTCAGGTGACGATATCCAATTATGAATATCTTCAATTGATTTGAATATCTCAAGTTTGAGAGATCTACACATTGATGTTTCAAGTTGTTCAGCTGACACCCTGTAAAAAAGCACATATGACCACAAAGGCAGCAAAAACTGTGTTGGAAACAATGAGTGCTTGTAACTTCTGGGTGGTCTGCCAACTAAGTGCAAAACTAAACATAAGTAGATTAAAAAGCTTCAAAGGCAGGATTAAAAAGTGGAATTTTACACAGTCTGAGGGAGCACAAAGCACACTAACCCTAAACCTAACCCGAACTCGAACCCCTAACCCTAATTCCATCCCTAACCCTAACCCCTAACCCTTGACCCGAACCCTACCCCTAACCCAAATCCCCTAACACTAACCCTAACCCCTAGCCCTAACTCCAACCCGAACCCCAACCCTAACCTCGAACCCAGCGGTTCTTAACCTTGTTTGAGGTAGCAAATACACACAGTTCATATGCACATTCACCGAACCCTTCATGAGTGAAAAATAAAAATATGATTTTTTTTTTTTTACAAATTCAAGACATTAAAAATGCATTTATTAAAAAGAGAAAAAAGTAAACACAATTAGTTTGAATAGAAAGTATATATTTTTTAGTTGTGCACAAAATGAACCAGCCAGTGATCGCCAAGGGTGTGTCTTAACCTCCATGGCAGAGGCTCTGTCGAACCCCAGAGACTGATTCACCGAACCCTAACCTGAACCCTAACTCCAACCCCAACCCTAACCCCTAACTCAAACCCTAGATATTCATCATGTGGTAAAAATGAGCCAGTTGTCGCCATGGTCCAGGGCACAGTGTTGTGATTACGTCATTTTCCTGAGATCCGGCATAGATGGCTCTCCATGAATTGATGAATCATGCTTATACGCCTTAGGTAGAAGTATGAGTCACCTTGGTCAATGGCACTTGTCCTCTTCAGGGTTGCAAGAGAGCTGAGCAGGAAAATCAAACACAACCCTACAGTTGTGAGGAAGATGTGCTCACCATTAAGTCACTGTGCTCCCCATGTCAAGAACAGTAGAGAGAACATATTATTTACAATGATTGATAACCATTCAACATGGTCCCACACGCCAAATGTAATGAGGAGGAAACAGGAAGAAAAGATTGTGTTACTGGCCATTCATCACTATTTAATCCAGTCATTTGACCCATGTGGGATTTATTAAACTCTGTCTAAAGGTCCCCAATTGGCATTTCTATTATTATATTATGAGACACGCTTGACATTTAATCAACAACTAACATTTCCCCCAAAACTTTAGTAAACAGATAACTGCAAAGAAGTGTATTTTGTGTGTGTATATTTTCTTTTGGTGCAATTTTATTGAAGTAAAATAGAATGCTGCTCAGATGATAATCTTAATTCTTTATTTCTTTCACATTTGCTGTGTTAAGATTATTTTTATATTTTCAGGTTGATTTCAGTCAGCGGTCTCAGTAGTATTGTAACAGAGAGATACAGTTAATTATTTTTGCTGTAACCCGATAACGTCTGGGTATACTAGTTAGGTGTATAACCAACACAATAACCAGAGAGCTCTATGCAGAGGTCAAAAACAATCAATTTTAAAGCCAAAAGAAATGGAAAAGTACTCAGCGTAACAGAGGTTTTTGTCTTTAGAATGCTATCTTATTGCTAACGCGTAATAGAAAACGCCAATGACGCGCTAACACTTCGGCAGCAATAGTTGCTAACCCTTCATGCGACGGACATTTCCAACAGATGCCATTGTTCATACCGCAGAAGATTTCAGCATCCATCAATTCTTAAGGAATCGAGAGCATCTTGTCAGCAAGTGTAATTATTACATAATACAAGAGAGTGAGAGTACTGTACAGTAATCAGTGTGTTTGTGAGGCTTTTCTCAAGAGAAGACATCTGTCACAGCAGAGAGGGCAGGCAGTTTGTTATTCTCTCCACACTTCCATCATATGGGAAATATTTTTTTTTAACTCAGCTTCACAATATGTGGCCTCCTGTCCAGGCTTCTCTTTCAGCATCAACACAGAAACAGCACACAGACACACAAATTTACCAAAACATGGAGCATCTGGGAAGAAGGAAATCCCTGAGGGAGGTGCCCTGGGATTTGAGTTGACACGGTGAAGCTCGCTCAGTGGGGAAAACTGTCTGCACTGAGAAACTGCTTAAAAGCGGATAAAAAAAGAATAGCAAACTGTACATTTAAACTATTTTGTAAGAAACAGAGGACGGAAAATGGTTATGTCACCCAGAGCTGTCGCAAAGATGCAAAGTGGGAATTCTAAAATGTGATTCGTTAAAATAAATAGGTATTTCAACAGTGTGTGTGTTTGATGCCAGCACTCGGGATTAATTTTATTGATATGTTTTTTAAATCTGTAAAACAACAGTTAATGCTTGGCCTAAGAAATCTTTTTTATTTTAATCCAAGTAAGAACTGGTCTCAGGGATGTTAAAGCACCCTTTATTTTTTTATCTACTTTTCTTCCATTTGAAACATGATGTACACTACTAAGTATCCGGTGTACAGAACAAGTGTGCACGGTTGACTGTATTACGCAAACGGGACTTAGTCAAGTGGCACAGATTCTGCTAAACTGAGCATTGCTGTGCCACGCTGAACTGAGTGGGCATTCATAAGTGTCCCCTTTTGAGACACGGGGGCACGGCTCAGTTTGTATTTACAGCATTTATCAACGGGGAAGGGACGAAAGTGTTGGAGGTCTCCATTATCCCAGTGTGTTCCACTGAGGAAGGATTGTGGAAATAAAACGAGTTGTCTTGCCACAGTTTTGCGGAGAGGCAGTCAGAACGTGGCTGCTTACATCAGCAGAAGCAAAAGGTAAAGAGCTGTTGCCAAGGAGCGTGTCATTAAAAAAAAAAAATGGAGGTAAGGAATGTTTGTGCAGCAGGGTTAGCAATAGCACGCTTATAGCTGCCACCAAAATACACACGATAGCTGATAATTTGTCAACTTCAAATTAGCATACAATGCTATTAGTTGATTTTGAAAGAGGTTCTCATGAAACACACTGTCCCTTAGTGGTAGACAACAATTGTGAATTTCCTCAATAAGGACCACAGAGCCAGCAGTGATTCTCAACCTGTGTGCTCACTGTGGTCAGTTTCCCATTTTACTTAATCAGCCTGGAAATGATTTGCAATGTAGAGCAATAAGCAGAATAAAATGTTCTTCCACTAGTTGGCATGTGGTACAATGAACCCGTGTTTTCTTTCACATTGTGCACCATTTTTTTTTTTTTTTTGATGGTGTGGCATGACATTTTATGTTATTACATACCGTGTTGCTGATGGTGTGTAGTGGTATGCTTGCCAGACTTATGTACAGGCAGCGTTGGATCGGTTCCCACTGAGTGACTGGCTGGACGTAGGTGTGGATGGTTTTTTGTCTGTATATGTGCCCTGCGATTGATGAGCGACCAGTTCAGGGTGTAGTCCAAAGTCAGCTGGGATAGGCTGAAGCTGGCAATGCGTGGATATAACATACCACGTGAAAATCTGTAGCCACAAAGAGTTAAATAACATCCCAATAACGTTTTCTTTTTTAATTTGTTTAAAATCAGGAAGTTTTGTTGTGCGTATCCTATGAAGTGATAAATAGAATTCTGTATACTTGCAGAATATATACTATATATCAACATATTCGGGATGAACTTAAACCTCTCGTGTCAGATCTTTTCAGTAGTTTGGTTGGTGTGCTTTGTATAAACACAGGATGGCAGAAAAAACATAATCATAGTGACCAAAAAGATTTTTTTTAATTGTCATATTGCTTCAAAATCGCACACCTTTGCTTACAAACCCTTGTACATGTTTGCGGAACTGAAATGGCCATTTGGAAAGATAAAATCATGTACAAAATGCCATTACAAATATATAATGTGAATTCAGCTGTACATTGTTACGGAGGATCGATTACCGTTCAGTGATTGTGGATGACACTGTGAGTGGTTGTCTATATTTGTATAATGACCACAGTCCGGTTTTTTCCCCCTCCACAGCTTGGATAAACGTAACCCTGAACATGACAAGCGAATGGGAACCGTTTTCATGAAAATATGTTGGGGTTGCGATTGTGTTCGTCAGTCCATGTCAGCGAAGCGTGCAAACATGGCTTTACGCACAGAATCCTTATAGTTGCCTGATGCCGGCATTTCAAGGGTGCTTCCTTTCACTCCCAAGCCGGTGCCTTTGGTCCTCAAGGAAGCCTGCGAGCAGACATGAAGACAATCATTTGAGGAGACGTAGTGCACACGTCCCTCAGGTAACGGCACTAATTGCTTTGTGAGGGAAAGGGAGGATGCGTAGGACAGCTGTGCAAAGAGGAAAGCACTCACTGAGATAGGAACAGTGATGCCCTGCTGGTGGCGTCCCAAGCCTTTGCCTTCCTGCCAGCCCATGGCTTGCAGCATCTTGTTCCCAATGTTATCGCTTGTCAGGCCATCTTTGGTGGGCTGCTCGTATTGTCTGTTGGAGATGGGGGCATTTGATTAACACTTCACTACAAACAGCATTTAAGATTCATGATTAAAAAAAAAAGATTTTAATGGTCGTTTTTTTTCTTCTTTTTTCTCCAATTATGTTTTCCATTTTCCATGTGTGATGTCACATCACATCAGTTTCCGACAATCCTGCTTGCAATGTGATGTACTTACATTGTTGGAGCAGTCCGCTTGAAGAGTTTCTTTGGAGGTTCTGGAACACCGTACTTCTCCCTCCTCTCTGCAGCCCGGTCTCGGTATTTCAACTGTTACATAGAAAATGGAAGCTTATTCACTGATCACTTACTTACTACAATGCATGTACCCTTTGTCTAAAGTCTAACTTTTATAGCATGTTAAAGATCAATTCAAAGGTTTTTTTTGGAAATGTGCTCCAAAGTTGATTGTCTGCGTAGAATTGGAAACACAACTACAATGTAAAACTTAAAAAATGGGGAAAAAAAAATATCTGAAGACACCTGACACGTAGTGTAAGTAATGGAGGGGGCAGAAAATGTTTGGAGAGTGAAAATGTCTCCTGTAGGTAATGTAATTACATTTGTGGTGTCTTTGAGTGAGTAGCCCTTTGTTGCAATAGAATGCATATTTTTGGTTGTACAGTTTTCACCACACTTTGCATGGTATACCCCTCACCCAAAAAAAAAAAAAGAAAAAACAAAACACTTGTGGATTTTCACTAAGCTGAAGTCACACTAGAGTTGCTGACCTCTTGCACGACAATGATTTTTGATTCGTTACATTTTTTAACATGTAGTTTCAGTGTATCAATAAACACTTCACACTACTTATGATTTAAAAAAATACCTCAGTCTCTTTCCTCTCCAGGTCCTCCAGCTCGGCTTCAGAGAGCTGCGACCTTCTGTGGATTTCTAGGTTTTGCTAAAATAAAAAACAAGTTAAAACACCAAACATCAATACAGTCACTGAGAAATCTCTTGGTTATGTAAACATGCACAAAAGTGTGTTCTGCCTTAACAAAAATAATCACACTCAAGAGAGAGCTCTTCGCTGAAAAATATTGTCTTAATAAAGGTAGAAGTGGATCTCAGATTTACTCATTGATGGCATTCAGTCATTGTGCAACATCCATTTTCCATGTGGCATTGCGGCGTCGTGCATGAAGCAGATGGCGCCGCTCAGAATATTCACGACAACTTGCCGATCACCTGCTGTTCCTCCATCCTCACCTTGTGAAGGTCAGAGAGCTGCTGGTGACGCAGCAAAGCCTCTTTATTGGGGAACTGCCGGCGGCACAGGAGGCAAACCAGCTTGGCCCAATCGGTTATTTTGCCGCTGTCGTCTACTTTGCGATCCGACCCGCTGTCCCCGGGTTCGCTGTCCTTGTCGTAAGCCACGACGGGAGCACTCTGCAGCGAGGGGGAAAAAAATAGATAAAAGTTGATGCCTTTGTGGTTAAAGTGAGTCAAAGGAATCCGGGGCGGAAGCAAACCTTAGCTGGAGTCTCTTGCTCTGTCGGCTTCAAGTGTTCGGTCAGAAGGGGCGACATCTCAAAGGCCCCTGTCTGCTGAGAGGAAGCAAGTACCATTAAATTAGTCACAATATACACCGGTAGTAATAATAATAATAATATTGATCGATCCATGATACGTGGCTTTTCGGATGTTCCTACCTTCTTCTCAAAAATGGAGAAACACGCATCTGCAGCCTCTTTCTTCTCCTCATCCCTTGGCGGCCCCGCTGTTTGAACACTGGTTTTATAACTTTCTTTTTGCTTATTTAAGGTCTTTGCCCAACGCTCCATGTCCTTTGCGATCTGGAATTTGAGAATTATTTGATTGATCCTAAGGGGAAATTTGTCATTTTCAACAAGAGAACAGTCAAGTGTTTTCCCGCTGTATTATGGTTCTCCATTCCATCATTTTTTTATGGCTTTATACTTCCTAACTGTAATGCCCTGGCATGTGGGAAAGGAGAGCCAGTCACAATGCACTTTTTAATCCCTTCATTGAACTTCGGGAAAACAATAAAACTCAGCGCTCACCCAGATACTCACAACCACATTTACACCAACCCACCCGTGTCTTAAAGACACTTGCGTGTACGCAGACACTACAACACAGCTTCAAATATGTTACCAAAGTTTTACGGTTTAAATTGTTAAAAGCAAGTGGGATAGGTAAAACTATAATAAAAGTGTTTTTTTTTTTTTTATGGACGGTATATAACTACAGATTTTTAGCTATTGCAGGTGGGTCTGCGATGGATCCCATCTGATAAACGAAGGCTCGGCGTAGTACATACCTGCTGTGCCGACTTGCTTTTGGGCTTTTCTTTCTTCTCTTTAGGCTCCTTGTTGCTGGTGCCGCTTGTTGAGGAGGAGGCAGCAGAGCTCTTTGTGTCCGATGCAGGTGGCGCAGGAACGTAGGCATGTTTCTCATTGTCCCAGTAGACATACTGCTGCGTTTCAGAGTTGTAGTAGTACTAATGCACACAAGAAGCATAATAGGACTGCTTTAGTTTGTTATCTGCGCCAAGTATGAGTGTGGTGTGTACTGTAATTCTCAATACTTGGTGTATTTCCAATGAAAGCATGGCACGTAAATGTTATTATAACACCTGGCAACCATTTGAAATTATGAATAAAAGGGTACATTTCCATTCACGTAGAAAACCAAATCTCATGCGTTCATGCTTATATTTGTCAAGTCGTATTAAGATCCTAAATTTAAAAGCACCTGACTGTTAGGGTCGTAGTACAGGCCAGTGTTTGGGTCGTAATAGTAACCAGAAGACTCATCATACTGGTATGTGGACGTGTCCGGGGCGGCTGCAGACGAGACATAAAAAGATGTAGTTACATACGCAAGACACAAAAGGATGACTTGTTTTTCCTCCTCACTGATGTCTTCTTACCAGTCCCAGTGTTGTGAATGGCAATGTTGGCTGCTGCTGGGACCAGTGACGGGGTCGCAAAATTAGAAGCCAGTTGGCTTGCATTGAGTGGTGCCGCTAACTGATGTGACATAGAGTACAAATATTAAGCGCACAAGAGCAGAATGTGACTAATTAAGTAATTGATGTCTGTCTTACATGTATGGCAGCCTGGTTGATAATGACGGGTGGGAAAACTTGAGGCAAGATTACACCTGCGGGGAGCAAATTCTTCACTCCTGGAGCAGCTGGAGACAAATGGCAAATGTACAATTAGCGCGTCCAGTTTTTGAAAAGGAAAAAAACAAAAAAAAAAAACAATTATATTTACTGTACCTCCCAGCAATCCATCCCCAGTGACAGGAGGCATTCCTTCTGGTTGTTGCTGCCACACTTGAAAATTCTGTCCCTATGGTGGGAATAAATTGATTTTGGTTAACACAACAATCATTGGCAAATGGAGGTTGGAATTGTAGGGATGCGCAAAATAAACAACATCATAAATGAATAAAAGAACATTTCTGCATCATTAAGTACTTAATGGTGAAGTCTACAAAAACATTTCTTGACAGTAATATGTTATACGCGCCTGCATTTTTTTTTTCAGAATCAAATCATTTGCAGGCCATTTTGAGGGTAATGTAAATTTAAAATGATAAACTGTTTTTCATCATAGTTTGTGGTGTACATGTATTTAGTTTAATTAAACTATTAACATAAGCCTGTATAAACACTTGGGCTGGGGGTGTCAATTACTCATGCAAACTCATAACATCTAGCCAATTAGCATGTGTTTAAACACATCTTTACAAAAAGGGTCTAAATTGGCCTGTGGGGGAAATATTGGTAAAAGGAAGAACAGACTGACCTGTGTTTGATGCGCATAGCTCTCTAGAGGGGTAATTACATCGGAGGTGGCACCGGAACCTTGCTTTACCTTAAGTTGGGAAGAAAAAGAAAAGCACCAAAAAAAGCAGGTCAGACAAGGTAGAATTGGTAACTCAGTTTATAATGATATTTCCAAAACAGCAGCGTTTGTTTCACGCTAGAGTACCTGGCTGGCTGACCACTGAGCTGCAGCTATGGCTGTGCTGGCAACTGAAAGTGCGCTGTTTCTGATCACATCTGCCTGCGACGATTCTCTGACAAAGGAAGGCCGTGACATTGATTGAGTATTGATGATTTTCATGTTTCAGCAATGATAACGTGAAGAAACATGTGCCTCAGCCTAATGCAATCAATTGAAATTCAAAATGCAAAGACATAGACCATCACATGTAATCTATACCGCAGGACTGTCTTTAAATGTTTTTTTGAAATGTTGCATGCCACCGCCCAACAAAAGTTGTTCAACAACCCAGTGAGTGGTTAGTGCTTGGTTAGTAACTTTTGGTGCAAATACAGGTAAAGATGTGAATGACAGTAATTACTTTAACTATTTGTAGTTACAGTCCACTGGCACTTGGGTCAAGTGGAGCAGTCTGAAAAAATTAGGTATTCATTGTCCTTGAATTGAGAATTATTTTCCTGTGTGTCTAATCAATCTGTAGGAGTTTCTCTTTTGGAATTTAACTACTGGAACAAATGCACTTTTCGCTGATATTCTAATTTATTGAGATGCACTTGTATGTAACATCACATTTCTATGTATGCAAATGTGTTTGTGTGTATGCGCGTGCGTTCCCTCACTTCCTCGCACTTTTGGCGTAATCCACCGCAATGGTTTTACCATCAATCTTCAGAGGTGGCTGGAGGCCCTGGAGAATGGTGAGCAGCTGCGAAGCTTCCTATGTGAGGAAAAAGGTGCAACACTGTCATGCGGGATGTGTGCCAACCAGCTAAAACGTTCAGCATACCTGCCCAGCTCTTGTATTTAATGTCATTAGACTGTGCAGGTGCCCAAGGTTTTGGCCTATGCGTGTATACTGTGCATGTAATGCACTAACATACAGTGGGGCCAATAAGTATTGGGCATTTAAGGTTGTTGTTTAAAAATCGTACAATGTGATTTATTGGATTTTTTTTTTTTTTTTTTACATTCTGTCTCTCACACTTGATGTGTACCTACGATGAAAATTACAAACCTCCATCTTCTTAAATGGCTGAACTTGCACATTTTTAAGTTGCCTAACACTTACTGGCCCCACTGTAACGACGAAGCTAACGCACCAAGGGAGAGGAGAGCTGAACAAAGCTAAAGCCTCGATTGTGTCCTGTCTGCTTGTCTTTGATTAAGCGGATGTTGCACGGAGACAAGTTGGCGAAGGGAGCCAAAGCCTTCAAAATCTCATCGACATTGCAGGTTGGGGGAAGGTTCCTCAGAATTATTGCTGCGAACAGAATAAGCAGTCAGGAAAACATGCACTGGACGAATGGTTGACGTGCAAGGGAGAAATAATGCCACTCACTGTCGCCACTGTATTCCCAAGACTGCTGAGACTCGGCGTTTGAACCGGTTGCTACGTCTCCATCTACGCGGAAGAATGACAAATGGTCAATAGTCACAAACACAGCATGGGAATTAATTTCTATAGTTGGATCTCCGCAGTCAAACGCCCCAAAAAGTCATGCATTTTGGGAACCAAACAAATTGTTCTTTAGAGAGTCAACCACCATTTTGCAGCAGGTCACGTTTGACGTCAGCCAATCTTAAGACTTCATCTTAGTAAGCACTTAATATGACAAAATTGAAAAAATGTATTTTTCAATTTTAATTTTGTTAGCTGTAATAACCTTGGCGTCAACTTACCAGTTTTAGTTGCCCCGCACCTGAAACACTTCAGCCTCTTCCGGAAATTGTAAAGACCGCACTGTGGAAAGAGAAAGGTCACCGTTTAACAAATTGTTTGACGTGACTAATTGGAATCAAAGCGTGCATTCAAAGGCACTCACAGTGCTGCAGAGCCAGTTGTCAAACCTCTGCTTCCTGTTGCTGTAGTGCACCGCGATGTTTCTCCCCTGGATCACCAGTTTATTCTGTGGAGTGAAGAACTGCGCGTTATTTCACATTTCCACGTGTTCACACCATGGAGGCAGGTGAGGCACCTGCCTCCAACTCCACGCAAGTGAGCGCGGCGGAGAGAGGACAGAGTGGCTGGCCTAACGCTCGCTGCTTAGGTCGAGTACCATTGGGAGGAAGGGAGAAGTCGTTAGCCTCTTTTACACAGCAACGCCACAAAATATAAGAGCCGCAGCACAAAACCACCCTAGTGAAGCAGGTTATTATTAGAACTTTGTGTGCTTTCTTACAGCAACACATCATTCCATAATAAGATAATGAAATGTGTGATGTCAGCGTCAGCATCTGGTGTGACAAATACAATCTGTTTTCACCACAAAGGAGGTGGTAGGAGTGAGAGTCAGTTGTCACAAGTTCACACCATCTTCACTCAAGGTGGAAAATTGTCAGATCAGCTTTGTCCTCCCATTTCGTGTCAGCACTGCTTATAGAGAACAGCGACAGAGGGAAATCGCTGGCTTTTCTAGACTGTGTAAAAGGGGCTACAGAGAGAGAGGCATGGGAGACAAGAAAGTGTGTGTGCAGTTTTTTTTTTTTTTCCCTCAACAGATGTGTTTGGGGCCGGAGTGCTGCCAGCTCGCTCCTCTGTCACCAGTGTTTAATGAAGACGAGACTGAGCTGGAGCAGAATATGTGCTTTGAGTAATTCCCACTAGCATAAAAACAGTGTACACTAAATTGAAAGAGTAAATTGAGCACTTGAGTCATTTTTGTTTTGACTGAAAAGGTTGCTAGAAAGTGTGTGATATCACAAACATCCTGATATAAGCGTCATAAGATGGCATTGTCATCATGGTATCGGGGCTCTAATCGCCAAGAGTAATCTAAACTTGGTGACTGTTGAGGCAACCTGATTGGTCTCCATCCACTTGGTAGAATCTTGCAAGTGATAAAAGTCCACGAAGGCGAAACCTCGGCTTATACCTAGAGACAGCATTCAAATATAGACGGGAGGCGTGTTAGTGAGAAGGCGATGCAATGCTCAAACTCACAATGGGCGTGTCGTGTACAGTCCAATTCAAACTCGAGACGGAAGGGGTGGTGGGAGGCGAGAGTGCTTAACAATGTCAAGGGGGGTGGTAGTGGTAGAGTTTTTCATATCATAGCATGTAATAATTTAAAAAAAATAAAACATGGGAGAGTCTTGAAGTGGAAACTCCAAAGAAGAAAAAAACATTTTTGTGAAGCTGGATGTCACGGGTTGCTCACGGTGAAAAAAAGTTTTGAACCAGTTTATCTTGGTCTCATTTTTCATTAAACCTCACATATGAATAGTGTTGTGTAGACTTTACATATCCGCTGTTATTAGCCGTTATTGCCTTCAGCTTCATGGTACTTAAGAGTAGCATACAGGTGCTTCAATTATTTTGATATTTAATCACTTTTATTGCTCATACTGTACTGAACAGCCAGACACTTTTCTATGTTGCAGTCAAGTTCCATTTCCAGGTTTATGCTAATAATGACACTTTGCCATCAGTGGTATACTTCTTTCTGTGTTGGTATCACCCCAGAAAAAAAAAAAGGGGGGGGGGGCAAAACACATTTGTAATATTTTGACATTGCACAAGCTCAGAATTCTCACTTGAGAGAAATTCAACTTTGGAGCTTCCACTGCCCGTATACGCTGTTACCTTCATAATTGGTCACATCAGCACAAACCAATCAAGGGGTGATTCAAAGGAGGAGTGCGAGACAGGAGTTGGGAAGGTGGAAAGCGGGACGCTCTACCAATTACACACATCACTCACCAGTCCTTTTCTTCATCAAGCGGACATCCACTGGCTGGGGACCTGGCAGCTTCTCAAGTGCTGAACGGATCTGTAATATGGCAACAGGCAGGGAAAAAAGACGAACGCTTCTTAATTGCAATTTGTAGCAAAGGAAAAACTCAGATTTTGTGCAAGCTTTTCTCTTCAAAACCACATGTGACACTTGAACGTACATCTTCCTCTGTCACATGAAGAGTGAGACCCCGGAGCATGATGGTCTTGTTCTCCTCCTCCTCTTCCTCTTCCTCTTGCTCCCCTCTGTAGTCGTGGTCTGCATAGTCGCCATCGTATTCGTCATCTGATCTGTCACTGTTGTGGCGTTTTCGACCCCTCTGCGGCAAAGCGAAATGATCAGATAGAGGCAGGAAAACGAAATCATACAAGTGTCCACAATATGCTCACATTCCCTCACCTCTCGATTATCTCTGCAGTCGTCAAAGCGATCCCTCGCTTTGTCATCCCCCCATTGACGCTTGTAATCCCGCTCAGCATCACGACCATGCTTGTCATGTCTATGTGGATCATCTCTCGGGCCATCTGAGCCATATCTCCCACTGCGTTCTCCCCGACTCGGCCTAAAATAAAACCATAGAAACGGAGAATCATGTCACTGCTGCAAACGTATTACATTTGTGGTGCTATTATATAGCAAATAGAGTATATTTTACCTTTTATCAGCTCCCATGCTCTATTGGACAGGAAAATGTTTGATCAATGAACTGTGAGAAAAATATATTTCTTAAACTGTGGTTTGCAAAAAGAAAAAATATTAATTGTTCAAAAACCGCCTTTCATATTATGCTGTATGCACATTATATTTTTAAACATAACACATGCTTACATTTTCACATGCCTTTTTAGAACACCTTATTTAGAAAGTGAAGTTGCGGATGACAACTGCATGTACAGAAATGGTTACCTCAATTGTCCAAAACCCAGCCAGTAAAGCTCACTTGCTTCTTGACCCTCATCTCTTCTTTTTTCAGTGTCATACCAACAATTTGTCATGATTTTATACAATCAACAAGGGCATTTGTTATATAAGAGGCTGGATATTTATATGCAGTTTTCTTTCGATTGGTGCTGTTTTTCAAATGAGTTTGCCATAGCGCCAAAATTATATCACTAGCATGGAAGTCAGTGGCCAGAGGCTGAGCTGTATTGTATTTGTTTCCAGCGTGGCCTTGTGGCTTCTGCGCAAAGCACATACCCTTCCTGCCCCTTACCCCAGTTTGATTCATGTGGGAACTCAGTATGGTACAGAGGTAAAGTATACCAAATAGGTACCTGTAACACCCCAGTCTCCAAGTAATACAAGGAATAGTTTATGATGCATGCCTGTTGAAATTATGTTCTTCCAAATAGCAGAAAAGCCATATTGGTACGGTCTTTATTTGTAATAAAAACACTTCTCGGCTAAAACAATCGAATGAAAAACTGGAACCACAACAGTAACTTGCCCTCTTGCGCAGCGTGTGACGTGTTCTCACGCCAGCAAAGTCACTGAACAAACCGTTCGTCACCATGTCACGTCGTATGTCGGTACTAGAATAAAATCAGGCTCGCCAGATATCCTAAATCATGTGTGAATATTCATTCATACTAAAATCAATAGAGAAGAGATTCAAACACTTGAAGCAACTATTTGCTGAAAAATCAATTCATGTTAACATCGTCAGGATTGTGAAATATGTGATACAGCATGCTAGCGTGATTAGCGGAAAGAATAATCCACAGTGCAAAGTATTTTAAGTTATCACGCCGTTAAAGAAAGAGCTCTGCGAACTTGATTTAAAATATGATACATTTATATGGATAAAAACACCCTCACATACCATCTGCTAATAGACCTTTACGCCTAGGAGTGATCTTCAAGTGCACTTCCGGTGTGAAGGGGAAAAGCTCTTCAACTTTCCAAAACTGCACTGCAAAGGACTACATTAAGCCCTCGATACTGCCATCTACAGATCGGGAGGATACACTGCAATTTTGAATCCTTAGCTCCTCACACAACGCAATGGCGTTAAGCGTCTGTCAAAGCTTTGGTATATTTTGAACTATTAATTCGACTGCTTAACAGGTTGTGGATTCCACACTGGTGAAACGTCACTCGTGGTGTGCGCCGCGTCAAGAAAGCAACCGTGTTCGCTCACCACAAAGGAAGAAAAGGTAGGCAGCTGGCTCATGTTAGCCCACCGTTAGCATCATATGCCATGTACGACGCTGCTTCCTATCTTTAATGCACAAGCCATCCTATAGTTCGTCGGTACATGATGATTAATAACGAAGTGGAACCGGATTTGATGCCTGTATGCATGTGATCTCTTGGTGATGGATAAATAACGTCCATCTTGTCTGTGCTGATATTTATCAGGCTGAATGGCTGAGCCAGAGCTGTTGCTGGACTCCAACATCCGACTGTGGGTGGTGTTGCCCATTGTCTTCATCACCTTTCTCGTCGGCATCATCCGTCACTATGTCTCCATTCTTCTTCAAAGTGACAAGAAGTTGACTTTAGAGCAGGTGTCAGACAGGTGAGTTATTTCATGCACCTTAAACACCTGCTGTTCATTTCAATACAGTACAGGTTACAGTGAATGTGTGATGTTCATTTTCATTACAGCCAGGTCCTCATTCGGAGCAGAATCCTCAGAGAAAATGGAAAATACATTCCTAAACAAGTATGTGTTTTGGTTTTTGTGGCATATTATTCATATTTTAATGACATTGTCCAACAATAATGTAATTGTACCTCCCTCTCTTAGTCCTTCTTAATGAGAAAGTTCTACTTCAATAATCAAGAAGATGGATTCTTCAAGAAAACAAAAAGAAAGGTTGTTCCGCCCTCGCCAATGACTGGTAATTAAAAAAAAAAAATTCCCTGGTCTGTAGTCATTATGCTTACAGCTACATGCTACTTATGTTAGCATCTTTTTGGTAAAATAATTTGTGTATGTCGTTGATGAGGATAAGCGGTTCAGAAAATGGATGAATGGATTTATTGTATTGATCTGAGTAGCTAAACCCTTTCCTATGTCGCAGTTAAGTTCCGGGTTTATGTTTATCGCTACATTCTACCTGTATTAGAAAATAGACGGATGGATGGATTATTAATATGGTCATAACTACTATGTCACAGATGGCACCTCTGAGATCCTGATTTGTTAGTGTAGTTTAGCTAATCTATTACTTTGTTCAAAGAACAAAAAACAAGTTTTTCCTTTAAAAGAGACTGGGCAAACATATAAGAATGGATTGTATCTTGCTGCTTATTTGCTCTGGCAGATCCTAGTATGCTGACAGACATGATGAAAGGAAACGTTACCAACGTACTTCCCATGATCCTGATCGGAGGCTGGATCAACTGGACGTTTTCAGGATTTGTAACCAGTAATGATTTTTAAATTGTGCACCATTTGACACTCACACCTGACTGCGTGTGTATTTTACGACAAGATGTGGCGCTGTTTACAGTGAGCGCTCTCTGTGCTTCATTCACGCAGCTAAGGTACCTTTCCCGCTCACGCTGCGCTTCAAGCCCATGCTACAACAAGGAATAGAGCTACTGTCCCTGGATGCTTCCTGGTAAGGACATACGGCAGCTGTCAACACATTTATTGGGATTGTCACGTGTGTATGTGTGTTCTTTGACAATTCAGGGTGAGCTCAGCATCGTGGTATTTCCTGAATGTCTTTGGACTGCGAAGCATGTACTCGTTAATCCTTGGCCAGGATAATGGTAACACATCTACTTAGGTGTTGATAAAATTTTGTCTTTGGTGTTAAAATGTGACTTGGGTGGATAATGAGTTTTTGAAATGTGCTTCTAAACTAATAGGTGCAGACCAGTCAAGGATAATGCAGGAGCAGATGAGTGGGGCTGCCATGGCCATGCCTGCCGACACAAATAAAGCTTTCAAGGTATATACTTAAGTATACACAAAATTGTATTTTTAATCCGGTACAAAATGTGATATTGCATCACAAGGTGTTATCCAATTGAAAAGTTCATGAGCACACTCCTCCCCTTGTCATCTTAAATGATCTTTATACTGTACATATAAATAAGTCAAAACAATTCTTGACAATCATATGTTCTGTGCGACACAGTATTCTGATTAATATTACGTTTGTGGACTAGGAATTAACCAGCAAAACCCCAACATTTTTATCCATCTCAGAGGGCAGCCATATTGCCATTGGCTGCCGACTGACAATGACATTGCAGTCGCTCAGGGCTCAGGTCACGACCAATCGCGGCTCACCTGTTTTGAGTTTGGTAACGCGACGTTGGCATGCTGAGCCGTGATCGGTTGTTACCTGAGCCCTGAGCGACTGATGTTATTTTCAATCCACAGCAAGTGACAAAATGGCTGACTCCTGAGATGGATGAAAACGGATGGATTTTTTTACATTACTATAAAAATGCCGGATACGTTGTCAAGTATTGCCATGTCAGTTTTCAGTTTCTTCCTTCAAAAATACATTTGCGGCGGCATGGTTTTGGAAAATTTGGTTTCATTCATGTAACGTCGGGTGGATGTTCATCTCTTCACACCACTGTTGAGGCTGGTCCTTTTAAACATAAGACAAAGAAAAAGCATATTTTGACGCTTGCTGAACTGAGGTGAGACAAGTTAAGGTCAGGCATGATGTCATACATGACATTTCAAACTCTCGGTGGTCTTAAGTGGCACGTTCATGGGATATTTGTCCTTAATTCTAGGCGGAGTGGGAGGCCCTAGAACTGACTGACCATCAGTGGGCACTGGAAAGTGTGGAGGAAGATCTCATGAGTATGGAACTGGACTTTGACGGCATGTTTAGCAAGGAGCTGCCCACTGGTATATTCTGAGGCCTTGCTCGCTTCTCTTGCTAAGGGGGCTTAAAATGCAGGGATTTTTTTGTTTCTCAAAAACACAAGAGATTGGACAAATCCCTCCCTTTTATGCAATGTTTACATTCCTTTTGTTTCAGGTCCATTTTCTTCAAGTTGTACTAAATTGTCATGCCTGACTGAGAATGTCTGGGAGAAAACAAGTCATGTTTTTGCATTATAGTTAGCTTGTAAGTTACACTACTAACAAAAAGTTCGTCATATCCTGCTCCCGGGTGAAATTTCAGGCTGTTCACAATTTGACATCATGTGACCAAGACGACACCTCACCATTGATGAATAGTACATCACGAACAGGATGTTGTCAAAAAAAAGTGACCACGAAAGAAAAAAATGACACATAGCTAACGGCATCCTTGGAAATGTATTGTTCCATTCATGGATCAAACAGCATTTGTGAATTTTGCCCTTCAGCCACTTTTTAGAGCACAGCAAGCTGTGCAAAAACTACTGAAACATTGAACATGTGCATTAAAAAGTTGAGAGAAGGCCAAATTAAGTTCACCTGTACAAGGTTACAGTGCATTTTAGGCATCTCCGGAAATTTCACCCAAGAACCACACATTACTATCTTTTTGTGAGTAGTGTATGTCATAGTAAAGCGGCTAAAGCCCGATTAGGTAAAATAATGTGAACAACTTTCATTGTATTTCATGTGTAGCTAAAGTTACTATTTTCATCTGCACTATTGCGTGCAAAATACAACTTAAGTGTCTGAATGGTGTTTAATTTCACAATTGCACCACTCCTTATTTCAACTGTAAGGGCCCTATTTTCGTACCCAGCGCAAGTCTAGTGCAAAGTGCAGTCTAACTTGTGCACATGGGTGGAGTTTTGTTTCTTTTGGTGTTTTGGTAGACGGGCGCAGCCAGGAAGGGGTGTTGGCGCTGTTGTGGGAGGGAACACACCCAACTTGTTTTCCATCCAATGGAAGCGGCTCCCCCCATTCCTTTTAAATTTAGTTGTTGTAACATAGGCTGCTGTGGAGTGGGCACTTGGAGACCGCGTTTTAACCCAGATTATGCGTCCGTGTGTGACAACCCCACCCTTAGTCGCACCGCATTTGGGGAGGGCGTCAGGGGCTTTTAAAACTATATTTAAGATGATGATATAATAGATGATGATTTCTGCAAGGATTCAGAGGGATTGATGCACACTGATGTCATATTTATAAATGAAATCCGATGACATCAACCACACCCGTTCATGGAGCTCAGAATCTGTCTGCCTGCGCCTCCATCAAATACACTACAATTGTTTTACACCACCTGTGCCACACTTTAGACCTGCTCCGAGCTTGTCTAAAATTCAAGTCTACTTTCTCTCACCAAATTGTCATCTGACTGCAGAAACGCCCTCTGACCGTTGGAACGCCCAGCTATGCACAACATGGTCTACCAAATTCCTAAACACGGTAAACTTGACTTGCCCCAGCACGAAAATGAAGACGTGCCAGTCTACAAAAATAGGGCCCTAAATCTTAAGAACTTACTACTTTTTCGCACAAGAATCGGTCAGTGTGACAGAGGTTTTTGTTGTTTTGGTGTAAAAGGTTTATTTTGTTTCAACCCTCCTGTATTTGTTTTGTACAGTAAAACCCATTTTGACTAAATAACTGGTTTTATTTCTTACAATTAGAGGTGTTTTGTAATGAGATGTTACTTAACTAATGTTTTGAATAAATTATAGTGATCAAAGTAGTGCTAACGCAACCTAATATTTACTTTACGCTGACTATGTTCGGAAGAGAAGAAGAAATATAGGTATGTGACAACCGACTCATTTCCGCCATTTTTCATGACGTCATTTGCAGGTGATCATGTCGCGGAGGTCTGTTTTGCGGTGGAATCTCTTCTGTCACCTTATTTTCAGTTTGATCATTTTCACGATGTATTTCAATGTTTATCGCATGCATGGCGGGATAACTCATCTTTGATCCCTCAAAGTGTTGAAAGCTAGCTGGCACATTCATATCGACCTATTGCACGTAATCAATAGGTATTTGGGGACATGCGGATGAAGCGACATCAAATTTGTACAATGCAGAAGCAAATTATACAGTGCAGTAACATTTGTGTTGCCTCACATTGAATTTTGGGAGAAGCAGCTTCTAACCATGATAACCAAGCCTCCGTTGCCAGTGACGGTTTGTGTGTCTACTTAACTGCATCTAATTAATCGTCATTAATTAATCAACTATAATTATGATTAAGAGGTTTGTGAAATCAAAACACTTTCTTGTGGAGTATCATCTTTAGAATTTGGTCCACACTTAAGAAAACTCAAGATCTCAATTTCATTTCTTTAACTGATCACAGGCCATTCCATTGTTTTTAATTAAAAACAAGATTTTTGCCCACGTTTTGAAGCCTGTAAAATGTCATAACTTCATTAATCTTTTACATATTCACAAAACGTAAACAGTTTTGTTCCTTTATTCCAACTTTTCGTGATATCAGTCTTGCTGGGAGGAAAATTTTTAATTTTGTGATGGCGTACCTAAGAAACGTGACTTTAATTCCAGCTACTTTCTGCTTGCTCTTGCGACGGGAACTTCTTACTGGTTATGCAATTTCTTGTGGTTTGACCGACAGACTTTTCACGTGACTTTCACCAATCCATATAACTAGTACTCATACCATTTGACCAATCAAACAGAGCCAAGCAATCGCATGACTGCAGTGAACTCTACACAGTGGCCTCCACACAGAAGCAAAGTTTTCAAGGTGACTCATTTACGGGGAACATGGCAGAAATCTAAATTTACCTTTCAGATATGCTCCAGCTCAACTGTGAGTGTGACAATGGGTGGACAGTTGATGAAAAAGCTGTCAGTGTGATAATGGGTGTCAATATAAAATTGTTAAGGTTTCACCCAACAAGAAGTCCACTTTGAATTTGAGAAAACACGTTTCTGTCATCTCTGTCTCGTGAGCATTTTTTGCTGTTTCACGAGTGTAATCCACGACAACTAACCATTCCCTGGGCCCGAATGTCCCTAAATGGTTATTTTATGCAATATAGTTTTAATGATTTTGCTGAGCAATGTGTGAATTCCTATTTTTTTGTCTATTTGACATTCATGCCTTGATTAAAAAAAAAAAAAAAAAAGTTACTCACCAGTTACTCAGTACTTGATTTTTTCCCAGTTTTTTTTTTTCTTGAGTCACGTTATTCTAAGTAACAATACTCTCCTCTGAGCACACACCATTCCTGTTTGGAGTTTTCCCTTTTAGAGTCAGAGCTATAGGTTTGCCATTGTAAATACTGTATAGCATTTCACCTACTCGAGTAAGAATACGTCGACTCGTTCTTTATCGTGAGTCTAATCAGAGATTATTTGATGTTGAAAGTGTGACGTGTGGAGAAACATGCTGGCATAGTGTGCCTCTGTGTGGGGTGTTGAAGAGACGACACACAGCAGCTACGCGGTGCCAGAATGCAGCAATCCGTGCGCGCCTCGCAGCCACCGTAGAGGAAGAACGCCCTCGGTGCCCCACAGAGCTTCTCATCTTCCAGCCGGCACACTCGCCAACACGATGGCTGAAGGAGGCGGACCCGACTCGGGCGGCTCAGCGGACTCCGACTCGGAGGTGCCAGCCGCATCCACGGAAAACCAAAAACAGACTATTGGTTCTCTACTGAAGACCACGCTGAGGAAGGGCGACGAATGGTGAGAAGAAGCCAGAGGCCGACTCGGGGCGCTTCTGATGAGCAAGCGCGAGTTTGCCATTAGCTAAGCTCCAAACCGGAAATGCTAACATGCTACAACAAGGAAGCTAATGCCGCTCTGTTGGTCGGGTAGGCTTAAAAAAAAGGAAAACAAATCTCGAGTTTTGTCACTCTTAATATTTGATGTTTAATCTCTTTCGCTGCTAGGTTTGTAATTTTGTAATTTGTAATTTCTCTCATTGTTGCACCGCGTTAAACCATTAACCCTGAACACTTAATAGCTTTTGTCAGCAAATATCTCAGAAACACGATGGCTGGGTAAAAAACACTTAAAATGTTTCTATTTGGATTCCACGCGTTTTGTCGTCGCCTGATGCGGTGCAATATTGGTTGTGACTACGGGCCCTGTTTTCTGGATTGTGGGTTCAACCACCACTCTGTTGCCTGGTTAGCCGGGAAGACCCAGAACTGTGTTAGCTTCCAGATAAGACTGGACTATCCACCACTGCCATGTCGTGTTATCATGAGTACTGTAGTAGTGGCACAAAGTACAGTGCTGTACTTAGCAAACGCGCTGGTATAGGTAAGACTGCCCCGCCCTATATGATATCCTGTTTGAGAATTCTAATCAATCAGTTATCGGATGCGTCATCTTATTTGATGTAAACGGAGTCAGCTGTTTATAAGATAAAGATTGTATTGTAAATTAACTAGTTAGGTCTTTGTAGAGGTGCACCAGTACCACTTTTTTCCCCCCAAACACATATGAGCACAAGTGCTTACTTCATTTGTACTTGCTAATACAGTACTGATAGTTGATCATGCCATTAAGTCCTACAGTTGTAATTAAAATGTTTTATTTTAATCTCATATTGTTCAAAAAATAGAGCACACACTTTTCTCAAACGTGGAATACATTTCATTCAAATAGTAAGAGTACGAGTAGCAACTAGGGATGCAACGATAACAGCGATGATGGGGTATTCAAATTCCCGCCATATAATTGTCGTCATGTTATATTAAAAGGAGCATTTGTCCGTCAAAAAACATTACATTTTGCCCAGTTCTGCTGAAGAGATCATTTTGAACTACATAGGCCTTGATACTTTTAGCCATTACAATAAAAATGACTGGCCAAGCCCATTTCTTTGTCAGTGCTGTTGTGTGCCAAAACACAATATATTGCTTTTATTAAATATCATGAGCTTTTCTCGTTTTTTGGAGCACACTTTGTAGCCGTCTAATAATGTTAGCATCCATTTCCTAAAAGGGGAAGTCAACCCCCAAAAAATATTTCTAATATGTTCTCTGCAGCCCCGCTAGTCTAAACATGGAATTGTGATTAATATTGCACTTGTGGAAAATGACTTGACTAGTAAATCCATCCATTATTCTCCGTCTCAGGGGATGGCCATTTTGCCACTTGCTGTCGACTGAAAATGACTATTACTCAGGGCTCAGGTAACAACCAATCATGGCTCAGCTTCAGAAAACGGGTGAGCCGTTATTAGTTATTTGAGCCCGAAGCAACTCTGATGTCATTTTCAGTTGACAGCAAGTCGCAGGGCACAGTATCAGTACATCTCTAGGGCTTTGTGATACTCTCGTCAAATAAAAGTAGAAATGAGGGATGTTGTATATGGCCTCCATTTTAATTCGACAATTAGTTCATGTGCTGCTGTCTTTCCACGTGAATTACTGCAAGCAAGCTTCTTAAGCAGATTGCGAATGGGGAAGCGATTCAGTGAGAACTGTAGATATCTGTATATGTCGAGGCATGTCCGACTTGCATAATATTCAAGCCATATATACAGTATTTCCTCATCCCTCACCCCTTGAGTCCATACTTGATATCCAAAATTAGATATGTGCTAGCATGTCTTCAATGCAACTGTTTTTTCCCTACAGGTATCTAGTGGACAGCCGCTGGTTTAAACAGTGGAAGAAATATGTGGGCTTCGACAACTGGGACATGTACAACGTTGGAGAGCGTAGCCTCTATCCAGGACCCATTGATAACTCAGGCCTGTTTTCCGGTAAAAGTGACATTTGCACATGGCTTTTAGAACCGTTTTTAGAAAATTTGCCACTATCGCGTTGTCATTCTTGTCATTTTCCCCTCCTAAAGACCAGGAAAAACAGATCCTGAAAGACCACCTTATAGATGAGCTAGACTATGTCCTTGTGCCCACTGAGGCATGGAATAAGCTTGTCAGCTGGTACAGCTGCCTGGGTGTCCAAAGACCCATTGTCAGGAAGGTAATTCTACTTTACTTTTGTTTTCAGATTGATTCTCCATCTACAACATATTTAGGTTATTACTTTCACTCTCCTTTAACCAAAATTGCACTATTATTCAGCACAAGTATTATCTCTATTTCTACCCCCTGCAGGTTGTTGAACATGGAATGTTTGTCAAACACTGCAAGGTGGAGGTCTACCTGCTGGAGCTGAACCTGTGTGAGAATGATAACATGGACATTGTGGTCACACGCCACTTCAGCAAAGCTGACACTATTGGTGAGAGACTTCCCCCAGAAGCTTCATTTCACCATTCAGAATGACCTGTAGATGTCGTGTTTTCACCAAATGTTTTTTTTTTTTCCTCTTTTTTTTTTTTTAAATCTTCTGAAAGATACCATTGAGAAAGAGATGAGGACACTGTTCAATATTCCACGGGAAAAGGAAACAAGGCTCTGGAACAAATATATGAGCAATACCTATGAGCAACTGAACAAGCCTGACAGCACTGTACAGGACGCTGGTCTCTTCCAGGGGCAGGTAATTTAAACCTGTAAATAGCTCGACGCCGCATCATAATTGCATGCTTCGGTGTTCGCTATATGAATAAACATGTAGTGCATTGACATTGTATTACTTTTGTTGTGTACACCTACTAAACCCAACTCGGTAAGTTGCAGTAAACGTAGACGTTTTTAATAAATGTTAAAGAATATACCGCTGTGAGTATTATATTTCTGTCTGCAATGGTTGCTGCACAGTTTGTGTTCAACTACCC